TCGTGATCGGGAGGGGTAATTAACTATAGGGGCTTGCGCCTATAGGAAACCAGAACTCAGATCATAAAGTCCTCACCAAATGAGGGCGAAATCTCTGGGTAGTGTCTTATCTACAAACCCATCTGCCTTCCAAAATTTACCTCGGAACTTAGTCCGTTAAAACTCCCTCGCCGAATAAGAAAAGCGAGCGGAGGCCGAGGCCGAATTTTCGGAGCCCACACTAAGGTCACTAAAGTCAATTGTATTCTCACAATGTTTATTGAAAAGCTTAGCAAAACATCTCATCCACCTTTGTTGAATATCCTCTTCTAAAAAAACACTTTTTGATTTTAATCCTTAACTGCACTTCTTGAACTAAATATTTACTACTTCTATCTTTTTGTTTGGTTAACTTATACATATATCTTTCACCCTCTTTAAAATCTAATCTATTATATAAATCATTAAAAGTTAAAACTTAAAACCTTTGCATCTCAGATTATTTTCTTAGACACCTTACGAGCCTCTTTATATATTTTCTAATTTTCAGAGTTTTTATATCTAAATTAATTATTATAATAAAGCTTCTTATTTTTTATCTTTTCTTGTATATTTTGATTATACCACAAGCTATTTTTATTGTTAGGAATTTTTCCTTTTAAAATTATAAGCACATTATTTGCAACATTCTTAATATTCCTAGCTACTTTATCCCATATAACATTTGCTTCCTCATGCACAGGCAAAATCTTAAGATCCCGAATCTGACGCTAAAAAATATTTTTTATTAGTGTTTTTTAAAGCATGTAAAATAAATGAATAACAAAATATAAGCGTTCAAAGTATTTAAATGTGTCAAATGCTACTTAATATTACAATCCTTTATAAGCAGAGAGAAACGTGTGGTGCCTTTAAATTACCACCCGGATTCTACTCCTAAATTGACGCAAGTTTTTTAAATTAACATTCTTTAGCGACGATCATCTTCAGAAGGTTTTAAAAAGTCTTCGGCTTTAAAAAACTCTTTCTTTTGGTCCATATTCTTCTTAAGATGATGAATTTCATTTGACTTTGACATTACATTTACTTTTACATTTATGTTTGAAAAGAAAAAGAAAAACTATATACAACCTGCAGGAATATTAAAAATAGACAATTTATATTACAAACATTCATTCATCACGCACAAATGCTAAACTTTTGCTCATTATTTGAGTAGCCTGTAATCTTTCCCAATGCTTTTACTTTTGAGGGCCTAAGCAACTCGAGTATTTGATTAATTAGCTCCCTTTTTAATGGCCCCATGCAAGCATGGTCACTTGCATAAAATTAGTGATAAACATCTAGAATCCTATCCTAGGGCATCTAATTGTCAATCCCAAAATCATCACAAAATCAGTCAAAACATTATGGCATGTACACACATCCACTAAATTTATTCAAACATTTTGCATTTAAAATAAACGTAGATTGCAAATAACTCATTCAACTCAGGACAATGCCCTTAACTTAAAATTAGAATCGGTTGCTCTAACAAGCAATTTAATGTATGTGCTAGGTTGTTTGGGTGGTCAAGATATTATTTATTTGTTTGTTTTATTTTCAATTTTAAAACTTGTTTAATTTATTCAGGGATGATTTTAATTTAAATTTTAGTACTTTATATATTTTTAGATTTTTTAAAGAAGTTTATAAAGGAGAATTTTAATTTTGATCTAGTATTGCTTCACTTGCTTTAGACTATTGCTTATAATTTTATGAGTTCACATAAATTTATTCAAACTTATAAGATTTTTTTTTTAATTTTTAATGAATTTTGTAAATTCGAGGTCAATTAGGGGATTTATTTAATTTGAAGGTTGATATAAAATTTCTATTAGATTATCTATTTAGTTTATTGTGTTTAATTATGAGCTAACTGGTTTTTATTGTTTTAGGTTGGTTTGATTAGCTTTTATATGTTTGAATATATATATAATTTGAAATTCATGCATTTTATATTTAATATGATTTCAGGTAATGATATTTATGTTTTGAATTAATTGATTTAATTCAATATAGTTTTATTTCAATTTTTAAATTTAATTTGATATAATCATATAAATATGTAAGAATTATTCAAGATTGTTCAGTGGTACTCTTGATTTTGGTTTGACCATGCATTTTAATTTGGTTTTATGAATGGTATGTTCTGATTATTTCATTTAAAAATTCACAGTTGGTTTATCTTATTATTTTGTTTAATTCGATCTAATCTAATCGACTTATATTTAATTATGATTTTTATTGCTATAAATATGTGTGTTGGGAATAAATGGTTCTTGTGTATTAGTTGTGACAAAATGTACTCTATAACAACGAACCATTGAACCATTCGAAGCCTTAGAAACCATATCATATTAATTCATGATTTTAGTTCCATTTATTTGTCTATGGGCAAGTGTTGAGTCTCTCAGGGCGAGCTATAATTTTTCCAGGTGAGTGTAGGCATGAGTTGCGAATGAATAGAGTTGATAGAGCCATGACTGTGGGTAGGTGCTTATCTTTTGTAGTTTGATAGGGGATATTTGTGGAAGGTGAATGGTCTTGACTAGGGAGAACTACTAAAAAGCCGAGTCCTCATAAGAAAATTTCTTCTTCGTGCAAAGGTTTGCTGAGGTGAGTTCTCAGCTTGAACTCGCTTAGAATATGTGCTCCGGTGATCAAGCTCGTATAATGCGGGCTTCATTGAGGCTAATACCTGCCTATTTCTGACATTGTTCTAGCAAATGCTTCTTAGGGGGAGTCTTATATTGGGCGAGTGCCCGTGCCCCTCTCTACCAAACTCCTCAGGGTAAACCTGTCGGTACCTGTGAGTTATCTATACTGACATGCATGAACATACATGTATGATACAAATCCCCATTAGCTAATACCCAAGGAGTGAAGACGGCAACTAAATAGCTTATTTGGAAGACTTGTTTCTGTTGCATCATGGAACATGCAAATAAGGCCACCTAATCTTAATAAATATACTACAGAAGGTATATGACAAGTTATTATGCTAGATTAATGATTCTAGAGAGCTTGAAAGGTTTGTTTTTGCTGAAAGTTTATTAAAATAATTAAATAAACATTAAAAAAATTACAGGCTTAAATTGTAAGTGGATCTCAAGTTGTAGTATCTAGTTTTTTGTTTCTTGATTTGTTCCATTGGGGGTAATTTCGCATCATCAATTTAACGTTTTACATGCATACCTCAATATTTCTTTATTGCAATTTTATCATAATTTTTTCCCCAGATAAATACGGTTTTGGCAAACGGGGATATCACATCATTAAGGAAAACAGTGACGGAAAAGATGTACTCTGTAAGACTTCTCTCTCTGGGGTTGATCATTATCTTTGAATATGACATTACTTTTGCTTTTAGTCCCTTTTTAAAAGAATGCTTTCTAGCTATCAAATGTATGCAGTGGATTTATATATTTGATATCTTTTTTGTTACTTTTTTTTTGGATTAAAGGCTCTCAAGAATGAACTTAAACGGAGAGAATCAATGTGGAATCGTGTTCACTGGGAACTGGTTGAGCCTCTAGTCAGAATTCGAACATTGAGAGCTAGAATGGTAAGATCAGCAAATACTAGTTATTTTCTGTTTCACATCTTTTAGTGGCAGTTTACTTTGTTTAGTCAACTGTACTGAAAGATATTTGTAACTCTGAAAATACAAAAAAAAAATCCCAATATCCTAAAAGGATGTTCCAGTGGTGTTTTCTAAACTCTAAATTATATTATAAAAAAAAAAACTCTAAATTATATGTGCATATTGAGTGGCTTCTGTTACAAAGGTATCTTTTATTTATTATATCAAGCACTCAACTTGCAGATTGCACTAGATAAAAATGATCTTGACAAAGCTTTCATTCAACTTACAGTCGAATTTCTTGCTAAACAGGTCAGTTGTCCTCTCTTGACTGTTTCACAGATTTGTTGGTACGTCTAGTACCAAAATTACCACCTTTTTTCTACCATCATCAGAACTTCTGGGATATTTCACTCCTTACAGTTTAAGATTACTTTCGTTTATCTTCTGAATAGATTTGATGGTGCTTAATGCATTATTTATTTCTGTAAATCAAAGGCATATATCATAAGAGAGGAGGTCAATTGTGCGCCAAGTGGGACGTTAGAAATTTTTGTCAAAAATCTTCCCAAGTCAAAGCACTTTCAATTCGTATGAATATAGAAGCTAAATATCCAACAATGAAAGCAAGTATTTTATCAAATAAATCAATGCAGAAAAATAATAGTTATAACAATAATTGAATGCATTGTTTAAATACTCAATTATATGTACAAGTGTAGGCCAGAAATAACGCAAGATGTGAAATGTTAAAAGGGGACCAATTTAAGTTAGGCACAATAGGCGTGATGTCTTACTAAATTGTAACTACATAAGTTTGCATTCAATTGAACTGATTTTACACAAGTTGTAACACATATATATTGTGATGATGAATGTATGATTAAGCGAATGAAAGTCTCACAATAAGAAATAGAAGTATTTTAGATTATATTTTGTTAAACATCAAAATATGAGTGTTTAAAATAAGATATGATGGTGATATAAAGAGAACTATGCACAAAACAGAGTTATATACTAGTTTAGCACAATGATTATGTTTACTTAACTACTTAGCAAATTAATCATTTTTCAATCAAATCATTACATAAACATGAGGGCATGTGCATGTAGATGATAAGCAAAGTAATGTGCTAGCCAGTAAGTGAAATTATAGAGCAATTGGACTTGATCAATATTTACATGGCTTAGCCACTCTTTTAACATACATCCACGCCTAGCTCAACTCGGGACTATTGCCACCATAAGTTATTCTCCTTCATTCCACACATAGGCGGAGAAGCTTTCTTATATAAACTTTTTAACTTAATGGGTAATGGAGACACAACTCGTGCTTCTATTTCAAAGCGAGAAGCAAGCTATTCGTAGTTATTTTCACTAAGTCACAACGTTTGCAATTCAAGGTGAGAAACCTATCATTCCTAGCACACCCCGTTAGGTATTGAAATTAATTTTTGGAATTAAATCAAAAATCTTTTGAGCTTTGGAGATGGCTCAATAGCTATCACCTATTATTATGATTTATAGAATCTTGAAACAATATGATTCCAAGATATACAATATATGTGCAATCAACATAATATGTAAACTAAGAATGAGTATTTTATAAGAAGCAAAAATGAATTTTGAGATGATGATGAACATTTGAAGTTTTCTCTAAATTCTATTTAAAAGATCTTACAATATAAGCTCTTTTTTTATAATTTTTTCATTTGTTATTTTCTTATAAAACTCTTACATATATATAATCCTTGACACTACTAAAAACGTGCTCAACTAGCATATAGACATTAGGGTAATCTTAATTAATAATTAGTAGTTATCATATTAAGAAATCATCATTAAAGTACCAATTTCAAACAGATTGTACAACCCATACATATCACACAATCCGATTATCATTCTGTACAATATTGTACGGTGCAATTTATACATGAATATGATGTGACATATTTATTCAAAGAATTACAACAGTTAGTTTAAATAGATCATATTTTATGATTGTCAATCATGCGAACAATTGTACAATAGTATTATGTGATTCAGATAGTATTGTACGATCAATATAGTAATATGCTATGAACTATAAATCTATAACTAATAAGCTGGGAAATAATGTTTTATAACACTCAGTAAAATTCAGTAGTCTAACTATCATGTCTAATAATAGCTTAAACATTTTAACATTGAAAGCTAATATTTTGACCCTAGATTTAGAACTTAAAATCATTAATACTTTGTACTTGAGTACTCCTGATTGGTTCCTTTTTAACTCATCTCTAATTGTACAAAGCTCCAAGTTTTTCTAGAAGTATTAACTTCTAGAAGAACTTAGTTGATCACATTAGATGATACATCATACTAGGTTTGTAATAATCAAATAAAAAGTGAGCCACATATGAGTTACATGGGCTCATGAGATCAACAATTTTAATACAACAACAACAACATCAAGCCTTTATACCACTTGGTGGGGTTGGCCATATGAAATTTTTTTTCCGTTTTGTCCTGTTAAGAATCAAATTCTCATTTAAATCTAATAAAAAAAGGTTATTTCTAATATTTTCTAATCAAATTTTTTTAGATTTATCTCTATCTTTCTTAACATAGGCTAAATCTTTTATGAAATTTCTTGGTTATAATTAAAAAAATATCTCACCAAAAAAGGAATTATACGATATTATAGCTGAGCAACCAGTAAGATACTTGGGCCAGCCTCAACTTTTTTATATCAATAATTTTCAGGATACCTTTCATGTTGATTGGGTTTCTTCAATAAAGTCCTGACCAGCCAAAATTGTAAGTTGGGTGGCTTGCTTGATTGATTTCTATGAAGCACCAACATGATCTGGCAAAAATACGTTCATCAAATTGGGATCTTCAAGTTACTGAACTATCACTTTCATTAAAAAGATTAATATTCCATAAGTTTTTTCTTCTTTCAACACAAAATGCCTTACGATGCAGATTCCTAGACATAGTTATAAAATCTTTCTATTGAGTTTCAATCTAACTGAAAATCGTGAATCATTCATTATCTTTAGTTTTTGCATATAATCAAATTTTTATTCCTCTTCCAGGGAACTCCAGCTCTTCCTTATATTTTGTGTTAAGCAACTCTAGATTCAAAACTATTAAATCTTTAGTTTCTCTAGCATTTTTATGGTATTTGATCAGTACTTTTTTTTTTGTTTTGGCTACGTAGAGGTTTGAAGCTTATGATTCAAAAGGCTCTGTTGTGGCTGGTGACAAGAATAAGGAGGTACAACAATGAAGTCTATCTTTCTCTCTCTGGTTCTCCCCCTTTTGTTTACTTATGATATGATTTGGTTAGGTTCGAGTAAAGTTGGCCACTATTAGTAAATTATTGTGTTAATTGGTTAAAATTTATGTAGCATGGTATTTTCTGCCAAGCTTTTGCTAGCGCTATGAAGAACCGCCTCTTCTTTCTGTCGCGTACAGCTGGTAGAACCATTGGAATCATTAAGGAGAGCAAGCTAAGAAATGTTAGATGTGCGTAAATGGAATCTTTTTTCTTCACATTTGCTGCTGCTATGAGTTTCCATTAGGGGTGCAAACGAGTCGAGTTGAGCTCGAGTCAGGGGTTGTTCGAGTCGAGCTCAACTGTTAAATACCGAGCTCGAGCTCGAACTTGAGTCGAGCTATAAAATCGAGCTCGAGTCGTTTCACCGTAAATGAGTTTGAGCCGCTCGTCGAGCCTCCGATGTGGTCCGGTTCATTGGTGGATTCTCGAAATATGTGTGGGAGGAAGAGAGAGAGAGGAAGAGATTTATTTTGTCTTAAAATTTTGAGTCGCTGTTGTTTACAACTGCAGCAAGAAGAAAAGAGAGAGAGAGAGAGAGAGAGAGAGAGAGAGAGAGGCGACTGGCATTTGAGCTAGAATACATTTGACGGGAATTTAAAATACCAAGCGGGAATATTATTAATTTTTTTAAATATTTAAATTTAATAATTTCGAGCTGGCTCGCGAGCCGAGCCTCGTCAAGCTCGAACTCGAGCTCGTTTAATAAATGAGCTCACGGCTTTTTAAGCTTGGCTCGTGAGCTTGTTAATGAGTCGAGCTCGAGCCGGTTCGGCTCACTTACACCCCTAATTTTCATATGGCAAATGAAAACAATTTCCTTTTGATTTGGCTTGTGAAGTATTTCTCCCGTATGAACCTGGCCTCATGTAAGTAATCTTAGAGAAGATGAGTCCTTTGGAAATGTTATGAGATGTTGATATAAGTTATCTTGGAGTTTAGAATTTACTAATGCAAATCTAAATGAGCTTATAAAGAAAACATAAGGGACCAAATTTTAAAGATTAACTTTCAAATTAAGCAAAATTTAGTCACTTTTGATGCAAAATTATAAAGTTCGCTTCATTTGCTTCCAATGATAATATAAAACATGCCAAAAATCTAAAATTCAACAAGAAATTTGAACATCACATGACACAGAAGGTGTTTGATAGGACGTACTTGAAGATTTCAAGTAAAACCTAACAGCAAAAGCAATCCACAACTCCAATGGAAAACAACAAAAGCAGTAATTTTATTGGACAATATGAGGGAAAACACTTGGAATTCACTAGTAGAAGATGAAAAACAGCAATATATAATTGATCCTCTATTCGAGAGGAGGATCGATCTCTCCCAAATCTCTAGACGCTGCTAGAGCCCAAAAGAAAACCTTAATCTAAGTGATCTCAAAATTCAGCCAAATTCAAGATGCCCTAACCCTCAGAAAACAAACTATTTAATGCATACAATCCAAAAGAAAATCTCTAAACAATCCCTACATTCAAATTTCCTTCCCAAAATACAAAAAAATCCTTCTTAAAATGTTCGGTTGGCTCTTTGCGGTTTGAACGGAATACCGAAGAGGCAGAAATCTTCCTCTGTTGCGCTGGGCCTGCCCCGTGTGGACCGGCTAAACCGGTCTAACAGCGTTCCAGTGCTTTTCATTTCTATTGCCATGATGTTAGTAAACTTTATCCGGTCTTTGTAGTTCTCTTATATTGCCTTTTCTTACTAGAAGTCAATTCGTGCCAGGTTCTTGTGCGCGATGTCTGGGTTTTCGAACGCTCCCTCTTTCATCCTGGAGCAGATTGGCGTCTCTGCGCACGCCTCTCCCCATAGTTTGCTAGACTCTTGGCATTACGGTTCCAAGGGAGGACATTTGAAGCAGAAATCATCCTGATAAGTGCCAACCGGTAATCTTATTTAGATTATGACTTCGTTTGGGATGACTTTCTTACTGCTTCTTAAAGTAATTTTTTGATACAAAAATTAATTTTTTTTCTACTAAAAAGCTGCTTTAAGAAACAGAAAGAAAGCCGTCCCAAAGGAAGCCTATGCCTTACCATTGCAAAGTCATATTATGCGTCTTGGCACATTTGCTGTTCAGTTTAGTTTCTTCTCATCTAGGAAGATTATAATCTTGTAAAGTTGTAATATGTGCATAATCTGCCGAGAATCTCACCTCCTGCTTTTCTCAATTTAATAAAGCCTGCCTGGTTCTACAAACAGAACTCTTTTAATTTGTCACAGAAGCCTCAACCTGTAAATGCTTTCAAATGGAATTTTAAGTTAATCTAAAGCCAATTTAGGCTTCATTTGGGACGGTTTTCTTACTTCTTCTTAAAATAACTTTTTAGTACAATCGTTCCAAACGAAGCCTTAATTTGATGAATAATAAAACTGCAAAGCTTCGACTTCTAAATGAATGCAGTGAAAAGTTTATTGATGATAGCAGGTGATGGTTGGCAGCAAGAGCAGAGTTAACTTGTGGTGTATTTAAAATTCGGTAAAATAATGGATGAAATTTGAATGCATGAAAATGAATTTAGAATTCTTAAAAAAAATTTTGTGCATTCCTTTTTGATAACAAAAGCATTTCCTCTGATTAAAAAAAAAAAAAAAATGTTATTACAAGTACAATTGTTGTACAAAAGCTGATAATGTGTTAAAGTTCTATGCTTATGCTATGTTTGGGATGGCTTTTTTATTGCTTCTTAAAATAAATTTTTAGTATAAAAGTTAACATTTTTGTACTAAAAATCTGCTTTAATAAGCAGTAAGAAAATTGTCTCAAATGAAGCCTAATTTATTGAATTCTTCTTTATTTATTGATTTGATCAATAAAAATAACTTTCTGAAATGCAGCATAAGACTATTTTGTCAGTAAGCATTATGAATTCTCATAAATAAACCTGATCTTGTATCTGATTCATGTGGTTTATTAGTGATTTGATGATGATAAAATTTGTATGATGTTTTCTTATGATTTGATAAGTATTTTCTTTTTGATTAATTATCTAATAGCAACCATTGTGCTGATCATGATCAATAGGCTAGCTTAGTGTTTTATCATTAGTTTTTAGTTTAAAAATCAAATTATTTTAATAATAAAAAATTGGTTAAAAATTAAGGTTGAAAATTTAATATATTATTTCATGAATTAATATTCAATTATTGCTATTTTCTTTTGATTTTTATATTATAAACAGAATTTAAATCTTTAGGTTAACATATAATTATAGCAACATCAAGCCTTTATCTGATTATGTGGGGTTGGTAGTATGAATTCTTTTTTTCCATTGTGTTTGGTTAAGAGTCAAATTCTCATTTTAATTTAATAGAAAAGATCATTCCTAATACTTTTTTTTTATCAAGTCTTTTTAGGTCTACTTTTACCTTTCGTAATAAAGGTCAAATTTAATACATCTATTATCTTAATCTAGTCATTGGAAGGCTAATATTTTATATGATCAGACCATCTCAGGCAACTCTATCTAATCTTATCCGCCATTGAAATTATAACATTTTCACATATATATTTATTACACATTCTAACTTTAAGAATAAATCACTCATCCACCTAAACATTCGTATCTTTGCAACACTTATATGCTTTTCTTTTAATGACCAATATCCTGTCATAAAATATTGTATGTCTCACCTCTATCTTATAAAATTTTCCTTTAAGATTGAGAGGTACTTTTCCATCACACAACAAGCCTCATGTGTTCTTCCATTTCAACCATCTAACTTGAATTCTACTAACAATTTTATCATCACTAATGATTTGATCGCCCAAAGTCACAATCCCCTCACTAGTTCTATTACTATAAAAATTACACTTCGTGTATTCAGTATTAGATTCACTCAAACAAAAATCTTTAGACTCTAAAGTTGACCTCCATAATTCAAATTTTCCTTCAACCCTCTCTCTCTCTAGTCTTATCAATAAGAAGAATATCATCAGCACAAAACATACACCAAGTTACATCCTCTTGCAAATGTCTAGTTATAACATTCATGACTAAAACAAAAAGATATGATCTTAAAGGTGATCCTTAATGTAATCCAACTGAAAAGTAATGAGCTTTTAGGTTAACATATTAGATTTAAATTAATTTCATCATTTACATGCTACTTATTTTGACATATTAAACTTTGAAAGAGAATATCATTAATGATTACAACAATTTTAAATTTTATGATAAATCCCTTTCATGAAGTAAAAAAAAAAAACTATTATGTTGAGTAATATTTATATTACATCATTCATTATGCCAATTAATATACATAGCCTCACACCTAAATACAATTCTTAAAGCTTTACATAATAAGGCTCCATCCGGGACAATTTTTCGTATTACTTTGTAAAATAGCTTTTTAGTATAAATTTTTTTGAAAAAGAATATTTTATACTAAAAAGCAATAAGAAAGCTGTGCCAAACGAATTGATTTGGAAGATAACATCATTCTGCCACCTGTATTGACCACATTCAATGTTCTATTCAGAGAAAACTTGAAGCCCTTAACAATCATCAGCTGTCTAAGCTTTACATTTGAGCTGACTAAAATATAAGAAAGCAGGAAAAGGGGAAAGCACATTTGATCAGTGAAGTTCCTTTCAATCTTCCTTTGGAAAATTTCTCAGAATTTCATTCTCATGATCAAATGTGCTTAGAAAATTCCTGAGAAGATAGAGAAAATAATAGCAAATGCTTAGATAACTATGCATCTTCAAGCTTGCCTGACAAAATTTCTAACTACTCATGGGAGGAGGGATAAGTAATTCGGTTGATGTAGGTTTTCTTACAGCTTTCTAGTACAAAATTTCTAGTTCTAAATAATCCAAACGAGAAACATTTATATACTCTTAAGAATTTTTATGACACCTAATAATCATTAATATATCTAATTATCTAATACTCATTAAAACTTTATGTGTGACAAATTTCTTATTGCTTTCTAGTTCACAATTTTTTTATATTAAACAGCTGCTTTAAAAGCAGTAAGAAAGCTGTCTCAAACGAAGCCTAAATCGCCCTTCACCTTCATTCCTAATCACAATATTCAACTACATATTGTTAAAAAGTGTAGGCAGGTCAAAATATTCTAACTCAATTGCATAGCAACAGAATGGGAGCAATAGCTACATGCAACATTCTCCAAGTTGCACATCTTGTGTAGACTATAATTGTCCTAAAGAGTGATTCCACTAATTCCAATCAGTGAGAAAGCCCATCCCTTTTGAGTAGAAAACAAACTATAACACACAACTTATAGACAAATACAATTCACATAAATTCATCATCTTCATCACTGTCATCATCCTCATACTCATCTTCTTCTTCCTCTTCCTCTTCCTCCCTTGGCTCCAACAAGGATTCCATGCCAAAAGATGGCTGAGTTTCCATTTCCTCAACTCCAATAGAGTCATATTTCATGCGCTCCTCAAACCTATAATCACTGCATGCAAGCATCCATGCCAGAGAACACTTCAATCCCTTCTTAGCTATCATCTTATGCCGGGGCTTCACGGTCGACTCGACACTGTAAGTAAAGAAAGCTGGAAACTCCACAAGATCCTCCACATCCCTCTCCATCTCCATCTGAAAATACTGAAAGCTCATTCTCATCACATCTATGTCCAATGCAAGTAACTGTGGGCATGCAATGACCATCTTCCTCACTTGCTTCAAAGACAATCCACATTGTTGCAGGAAATCAATATGCCTCAACACAACCTTGCTGCCAAGCACAATGGCCTGAGGCATTTTCTCAATGATCCTCCCAAACTCTTCACTGTTTGCAAGCAAATTCGACTCGAAAAAGCTCTGTTGGTAGAGCAGCTTCTCCTTCAATTCAATCCCCAACAAGTCAGGATATTGAGCAATTACTGAACTCACTGAGTCTTCCCTTACACCAAACTGCAACAGAGCTGCCACATTGGGCTTCACTTGGTCCTCCAAGCTGTAACCGAGCATGTGAGGCTTCTTCTCAAGCAATCTTGCCACAGCAAGCCTGGGCAATCCAAGAGACTCAAGGTACTCAACAAATGGCTTGATAACTCTCCCCACACGCAGGCCTAGAATTTCTGGATAGCGAGTGAGGATTTCTCCAAGTTTCCTTCTTGCCAATCCAATTCCAATCAGATATGCCACAGAGGTACTCATCGTCCCCTCCAATTTGAAGCCGAGGAGCTCTGGGTATCTTTCAAGGACACTGGGAATGTCACTCTGCTTTATATCCATTCCTTGGAGGTATTTGACAACAGGCATCAGATCGATGACGACGCTTGAGTGAAGGACCTGCGGGTATCGCCGGAGGAAATCGGTGAAGGTGGATTTCCGAACACCCAGCTTGCCGAGGTAATCCAGAACAGGAATCATGTTCTTCTTCACACTGCAACCGAGAACTAAAGGGTAGTTGTTGATGTCATCAATGGTGAGGCCCAATGAATGGAGGAAATCGACGCGCTCCTTCATTACCTCCACCGTCGCCGGGAGCTCCAGCCCGTCGAGCTCGTCAGGCACAATGCCGAGTTTGCGCAGGAATTCATAGGCTCTGGTTCGGTTCTCCGCTTTCTCCTTCTTCATTTCGAGCAAACTTGGGCGAGCATAGAGGGAAGATGAAGAAGAGGATCTCCGGCTGGGAAGCGTCGATGCAGCTGCGTTCGCAGGTGAAGCAGACATTGAACGGACATTGTTCTCGACGGAGAAAGACCAGATTTTGGACGAAGAGTTTTGTCGGATTTGGCATCCGAAGCATCGAATTGGGAATTTGGAGCGGGAGAGAGAGTTGGGATTGGGCAGTACGTTGGGAAAGAGTGCCCTCATAGCTATGCAGAGCTTCCTTCAGTCTAAAGATCAAGCTAATTGAAGAGAAGAAACGAAAGTTCAAAACTTTTGTAAGATTAACCTCAACTCGAAGAAGATCAGAGCGGAAGAACTACTGAGAAGTTCGCTTAGGGATTGAAAGCAGCTACTTTGCTCACCAGCGGAATATTTTTCAGCGGCGGAGGTAGAATGGTGGTTTGACATCCCAAGCCGAAGCCTGAATCCGGACACCTGGACGAGCAATGGTGCTGATTCGTTAGGGTTAGGGTTAGGGTCAAAAAAGGTCACAAATTTTTTTGCTCATCCTTCTAACAGGATTTCACTACAGATCCGTTGGCCAATTAGATGTAGTAGTTTTTATTGATTAAATGTTACAAAATTTGGTAATACTGAAAATTATCTAAACTTCATATTTAATACATAAACTTCATTATTTATAAAAATCTTCGACGATAAAGTCACAAATCCGTCATGACACAATCTTCGTGGTTAATTCTCCCTTAAAGACAACCTGCCACCATCTTTTTGGTATAATTGATGTCTCCTTGCTACGGCGAAATTATTATGTGCGGTCATCAGATGCCTTCCGGAGGTCAATAAGGACGCCCACATCACCAATTCACTGGGCACCGTCATTGTGTATCGTGGTGTATTGGGTGATGTGGTGCATCTTGATTGGTCTCCAGACGGGAACGGTCTGACTAACGCACGTAATAATTTCTTCCTTGATACATTAGTGCTTCCTCATCAGACTTTGTATATCTCACCAGCTTGATAGGACAATAACAATTAGCAAAAAATTCTTAAATAGTGTGGAGTGACATCTAGGCTTTATGTGTAATAGTTTTCTTACTACTTTCTAAAATGGGCTTTTAGTATAAAAAAATTTTATTAAAAAATTGTTTTAGAAAATAGCAAAAAAATTATCTCAACTGAACCTTATTTATATGGATAAACCAACTCTAATATATATAGACTAATGGACAATTTTAATGTTATGATGTGTATATGTACCAATAGGGGTGTCCATTTTTGACCTGTCACGCTGCCGCGCTCGCGCCTCGCGCAGTCGACTGCTGCCGCGCTCGCGACGGGTTTTCGGGTCAAACCGATCTCGACCCGTTTTTGAAACGGGTCAAAAATCTGAACCCGAACATGACCCGTTGCTAAACGGGTCAACCTGAACCCGATTTTTTCGGGTCGGATCCGGGTCTGGTTTCGGGTCGGGTCAAAAATTGACACCCCTATGTACCAATAATATATTTGTTAATATGATGGCATGTAATGGTTATATACCATGCCTACATTGACAATCTTATAAAATAATATAAAATGAATCAAATAAGGTCAACTTTGACAATTGACCTGATTTAATTAGATCCCTAACTAATGAGTGTTAGCACTTTAATCATTTAAAAAAAATTAAAAATCATTCAAAAAAATTGCAAGAAATCATATTTTAAATTCAAAGTAATGAAATAATCATGCTATCAACTTATGCATTTTTAGTTATTTTGATATTTTCCATATTTTTAAGTATGTAAATTATATTGCATTTTAATCTTTTGATGGATTAATATAATTTAAATCTTAAATAATCTTTCCAAAGCTTATTACTTTCTACTTTTTTTAGGGGTTTTAAATTAATTTTGATAATTTGCTTAAATATTTAATTATTATGATAATTAAAGGCCTAAACATTTTTTTTTATTAATTCTATTTTTTTTTATAGATGGTGATTGAATGTTATATGAATCATTTAGGTTATTTAATTATGTAATTAACCATTTTTATTTTATTAAAATTATTTCATAATTTAAAATTAAGTTGTTTGAATTTTGTGCAAATAGATGTGATTCTTATTTGAAATAAGAATAATTATTTGCTCTTCATATGGAAATCATGGAATTGAAGCAAGCTTGAAAGCTAAGGGAAAAAAAAGAACCCTAAACTATTTTCTTAATAATTTAATCCTTATATTTTATTATATAAGAATATAATTTAATTATTATTTTTATTAATCCTTATATTTTATTATATCAATGAATTTGAGAACAATTTTTATTCCATTGAACTTAATGAATTTTATATGTACAATCTCACATATTATATGACACCCCTTAAATCAAAATTAAATTTATTATGAGGTTTGAAAACATTTATCATTTTCACCAAAACTTATTGACAATGGTGTTGATGGACGCTAACATTAAAATTATAGATTTTGAAGGTGATCCAAACAATAATCAAAGCTTTATAATTCTTTAAAGTTTCGTTTGGGGCAGCTTTCTTACTGAGTTCTAAAATAATTTTTTAGTATAAATTGTTTTTAAATTAAATAATTTTGTGCTAGAAATCTGCTTTAGAAAATAATAAAAAAGCTGCCCCAAACGAAATCTAAACATAAAATTTCTCCTATAAATATCGAGAAACGTTTAATTCCCAAATGATTTTGAAAGATATAGCCATAACTTCATCTCATCATATTAATAAGCATTTAATCAATTCAATCAAATCATATTAATCTAGCAATTAGTTTTTGATTAGCCCCTCAAACCACCAATTCTGAATTGATTATCAAGATGTTACATCCTACTTATTGGTGGAGCTCCCTCACTTATTAAAATAATATAGCTCAACATCATTCTCTTCTTTCTTGCCTATTACACTTCTAATAAAAAGATATTCATTTAAAAATGTTATTCTATTCAAAATAAAGTATTCTGCAAAAATATAAATTTTTATAATATTTTATTTCTAAATTAAATTCTTCTTTATTTTACATATTTGCTAATAATAACTTGTACAAGAGATATAACTGAGTCAAGCTGAGCTCAATTCATTCTAACTTAGGATCTATTTGGGACAACGTTCTGCATGCTTTGCATTTTCAAATGGCAATCATAACTGCTTTCTTGCAGCTTTCTCATTGCTTTTTCAAAAACTTTTATTGTGGAAGGTTGTTTTATGCAAACATAATAGCAAAGCTGTTTCCTCCTCATCAACTTCATAGCTAACTTCATAAAACACTGCAACCATCTCAAATAATTCCTTAAGCTTGAACTTGTCAAGCTCGAGCTTAAGGATTTATTAAGATGGCTGCAGTTTTTTGAAAGTTGATTCTTAAGTTGTTGTGGGTAAAACAAATGACTTTCCATAATAAAAATTTCTAAAAAACAATAAGAAAATTCAATTCTATTTAAAAAGCAAAGTAATAAAAAAGCCGTTTCAAATAAATTCTAATTTATTGAAATTTGAATCAGCTCATGAGCAGACTCATTAGTTATTAAAAAATTAATAATTTAAATAAATATTATAATAAAAAATAGAAAAATAATAATAAAATATTCACCTAATATAATTTTCATTTATTAAATGCGTCACTGACAATCAAGCTATCCAATGGGACCAATATTTATTTATTTCATTTTCTCAAGATGCATGCACTCATCTTTCCTCACAAAGCCCATCGGCTTTCCGGAAGGGAGACTGATTGGTCATTTGGTCTCCGGTGTCCAGACTCCGCGGTGCCCATCCCGATGGGGGGCGAAGCTGTCCTCGAAAGCCGGCGAAGCAGACCTGGTTACTGTAACCGCGAAAGACACGATCCCTCAGAGTCTTCTAAAACGTCTCCGCCCGTACAAGTAAAAGTCAAAAAATTGAGGAAGTCAATTTATTATTTGTTTTTGCTGGCTTCGGTGTAATGGGGTTGGGTTGGAATTAGAAATTTTTATTGGGTGTGAAGTGCAGATGTAGCTTTATGTATGCAACTCTGTAACACAATGCCACGTGGAGCCCATCTTGACCCACCATTCTAATAACCACGTATTCATTTTTACAACGCGGCCTGACAATCCGAACCGCCCGAAAAATTGAAAATTTGAAAAAAAAAAAAAGCTTTGCAGGCCCGATGAATCATCCCGAAATGAATTTGTATATGTTGTTTCGGTTTTTCGAAATGATCCGAAACGTCTCTTCTAGTTTTGCGCATTCGGGCGTTTTGGTTTTCTACATTATTCCACAAGGAATACTTGCAGGCGATATTCATCTTCTTCAGACTTCATCTTCTACATGGCAAAGGTATGTTTTTTCATGGTGGATAACCTATAGTTATCTATATTTATCACGTTTATAGTTTAGGATTGGATGGTATAATAGTTTTTGTAATGTGTATTGTTTATGTAGTTGGGTACGCAATCTGGGTACCGCTGGGTATCCCGTATGGGTACCGTTGGGTACTCCATCTAGGTATCCCTGGGTACCCAAACTGGGTACAATGAGTACTACCCATTATGTTCATTTCAGAATGCATTGTAAGTTCCATTTGTTATATGGTAAGTGGTTAGGGTTTTTTTTTTAATTTCTTTATGTTGAGAGGAAACCATTTTTTATGTATGTACCACCTTTGTACCTTCTGAGAAGCACTGGGTACAATTGTGAACAGTAAGTAATACTCGGCACCTCTCGGTATTGCTCGATACTGCTCGATACTGAGCAGTACCAGGCTAGGTACCCAACCTGAAATGCATTTTTTCCTGATCAAATACAACATATTATGCAGGGATATGTTCCGAAGATTAGCTTCCATTATAGAATATCAACTTTTAGAGAAGTCTGTGATCATTTGATCAAAACATTTGGAAAAAAACTTTGTGGATAGTTTGAAGCAAAATAATCTTCATCACTTTCTTATGATGTCGCGCTATGTACAAAATGTTCCGTTGGTTTTCAAGTTATTGTCATACTGGGATATTAAGAAATAATGCTTTATCATTAAGGACTGGAAGTTACAATTTAATGACGATGAAGTTTCTATGATTTTATGCCTGTCGAACAGTGGAAACAATTTTGAATTGGGAAGTGCCAGAATCCCTGGAAATCAGTAAATGACATTAAAAAGGAGGTTCTTAGTTTATATGAATCAACTCCACTTCCTGTTGTAGTGAAGAAATTCATCATTTTCTTGTTTCAAACCTTTTTTTCCTCTGTACAACTATCGAATCCCAGCTACTATCCTTAGTGTAGCACATAATATATAGAATTTTTTATCTTACAATTGGCCGGAATTAATTAGAGAGTTCCTTGTGGCTGACTTTAATGCAATTGCGAATAAGTTTAGGAAAGGAAAATCACTGGATACATGAATGATTTTGTACAGATTATAATTGTGAATACATTGAACTATTTATTCATATATGTATGATGTATAATCAAATTCATCCTTATGTTTGTTTGCATATATGGTTTCTAGAGCACACCACAGTCAACAAACCAGTGGATTCAAAATCAAGACCACGTTTTCTTTGATGGGGTTGCG